GATGTCGGGCGCCCATCGCCGATCTATCAACGACGCGTCGCCGAGTCCAGGCCGATGTTTCCTGGGCCCGTCTGCGGGCCATCCAAAACGGTCCATCGCACTTCCGTAGTGCAAGGCAAACTGGCCCACGCACAACATGATTCGGACAATGCTGGCACAACGATCTAGCAGACACCGAGCGGAAGAACGAGCTTGCTCCGTGAGTCAAGAGACGCGTCTTCCTCGGTACAGCCCCCCGCGGACATGCCCGACCTAACGAGAGGGGGGCCCAGGAACATGCGGATTCGCTACGGGGCGCCTATCGCCGACCTATCAGCGACGTGTTGCAACAACGTCCAGGCCGAGGTTTCCCCCCCTGCGGTGGCCCCCTGGTCGTCCAAGGCATCGAGCGCCTCTTTTTTCGAGACGCATGCCTCAGACCTCTCGACCACTTCCCCTCGGTTGTCTTCATTCAACCTTAGACTGCAACAACCAACATACTGCTCTGTGATGATTGCGTACTGCTGTCTAGCAGATTGGCCAAGATATCTTAGATGTCCATAAAGAGGCCTCGCGAGGCCTGGCAAGGGCCTCGAGAGGTCCCGTCCGGAAGCTTGTACGATCGGGTGTGGGCAGAACCCCCACCTTGACACGTAGCTCCGTGCATTGTCCGCTTTCGGTTCTTGAGAGGGCGCCGCGGCCGTCGTTGTCCAGGCCGGCCCCCGCCAGGTTTGGGCCCGAGGTCGCTTTCACCAAACCACGTTGTAGTCAAGGGGGTTCTGTCCATCCCTGATACGACGCGAGCATGTCTGGGCTGTGTCGTTGCTCCGCAGGTACACGCTCAAGTCCACCCCCGAGATCACCGCTGTGCCCTGCATCGCTGGGGACGACGAGGTGGACCACCTCCTCGAGCTGGTGGGGCTGCCGCGCTTGGAGGACCGGGAGGGGCAGAGGAGGATGAGGTACCGATGCCGTTGCTCGTCCTGAAGAGCGCCTCTTCTGGGATGACCGTGGGGGTTTCTAAGTGGACAGGGGGGGTACAGAATGCTAAGGTGGGTTATATCTGGCCCAGCCTGGCTTACAAGTGGGCTACAGCTGCCCCAAGTAGCTTAGGAGTGTTAGCGGTCCGGGCGAAGTGGGCTCCGCCCACTTAGCGGAGTTATCTAACCCCCCTAAGCCACTCGCGGAATTTGTAACCGACTTATAAGCCAGGTTGGGCCAGATACAACCCACCTTAGCATCCACCTGTAACCCCCTATCCACTTAGAAACCCCCACGGTCATCCCAGTTGGGAGGGCGCCAGCGACCCAGATCTCGTCGCGAGTTTTTCGGCTTCGATATCTGAGGTTGTCGGGCGCGTTCGTTGGTTCTGCATGGTTTTCCAGTCTCGCGTTTCTCTCCAGCGGCTGCGCCTCGCCGAGGGCGTTCCGGGGTCGCCAGGATCCTTCGGATGGGCCACCGGAGGCCCGCGTTATGGCCCGAAGACCAGACCACGAGGGCGTCCCGCGGAAGCCTCGTCCTGGAGAGCCTTCGTCGCTCGTCCTGGAAAGCTCGCGTCGCTACGGCTGGACTCGCCCCGACGTTCTGGTCAGAATGCACCCTGGGAGAGGTCCGAGGAGGTTCAGGTACTGATACCGCTGCTCGCCCTGAAGAGCTCGTCGCCGCGGCTGGACTCCTCGGGGCTCTGATCAGAACGCACCATGGGGGACCGTGAGACCCCTGCAGCTGGTCCGAAAAACATATTGCCGCGGCTGGTCCGACGGATCGTTCCGGTTCGGAACATGCCGCAGAACGAGTGGGTCTGCTGTGGCTCGGGTCGTGGTGTTTCAACATGCCGGCGCCTTCCAAGAAGCAGCCTCCTTCCAAGAAGTTTTCCCCCCTCCCCCGGGGACCCCCCTGCTGCGCGCCGCCCAGTTCAGGAGGGGAAAAAACACACAGACACAATGAACCGTCGATTCCCCAGAAAGTATGGGAACATATGGGAATTCGGCGGGAAGACAGAGACCCCGAAAGCATGGGGAACTATGGGGGATCCTTTTGTTTGTGTGTATTTATTTGCCCCTTGACAAGTGGGGCTCGCCGCGCAGTCGGCCGAGGTGCCCGCCCGTGGCGCGGGGGTCCCCGCGGGGGGCCGGGGAGCGCACCCGCCGGCGGCGCCGCCCGCGCCGCCCCTGCGGGGGCAGGGCATGCGGGGGGAGGGGGGCGGCGCGGAGCCGGCCCGAGGAAGACGCGCGGAGCCCAAGCTCATGTGCCCCCTCCGCCTCTTCCTCGTCGTCGTCGTCCTCCTCCTCCTCCTCCTCCTCCTCCTCCTCCTCCTCCTCCTCCTCCCTCCTCCTCCCTCCTGCCTTCTCGTCCTCCTCCTCCTCCTCCTCCTCCTCCTCCTCCTCCTCCTCCTCCTCCGCCATCTCCTCCTCCTCCTCCTCCTCCTCCTCCTCCTCCTCCTCCTCCTCCTCCTCCTCCTCCTCCTCCTCCTTCTCCCCTGAGAAGGGGTCGTAGGGGGAATGATCGCAGCACGGCTGCAGTCGAAACCCATGCCAAGAAACACCTTGCTTGCCTCCAGTCGCGAGGTCGAGGGAGCGCTGACATGGATTACAGTCTCAACCCGCACAGTAAGGATGGGCATCCTTCCCAAGGGTACCCCTTGCACATCCTTGCCTCATCGGTCCATCCTTAGCCACTCTCGTGAGCCGCGCCCCGCTCGAGGTGCTTTGAGATGGGCGTCCAAGGCCCTTGCATCATTACCGCGCATCGGTATGATACGAGCTGACTGTAAGGCACGTGGATCAGCGAGGGGTCCGGTTTCTATGCAAGATCGGTGCGCGTTGTCGCCGAACGACGCGGTATTGGCCTCACATGTCGGGGAGACCCTCCCCGATCCATGAATCTGGCGCCCACGCACCAGATCCACGGAACACTGACCCATGTTGTTGGAAAGCTTGGGGTCCCGCGCGCCAGGTCCCCGGATCGCTGCTCCATGTCATTGGACATCTTGGGGGCACCTTGGGCCACAAGCACTTCTAGCAGCACCTGACGGGAGGCCGCTGACGAACTAACAACACACACCCATACCCATAGGGGGGTCGGAGAGGGCTATGGGTACGTGTTGTCGGATGGGGGTCCCCGCCCGAACGGGAGCGTTCCCCAGGGTCCGACAACCCGCACCCATACCCATAGCGAGTCCTCCTCCCAACGACCGCCCTTATGGGTATGGGTGTGTGTTGTTCGTTCGTCAGCCGCTCAGCGCATGGCGTCTCTGGGCTCGCCGGGGCTCGGCAGCGAGGCCCTGCGGTGGCAGGCAGCCTCTCCGGAGAAAGGGTGGCCGCGACGGCGAGTTCATGACATTCGGCTCCTCCCCCGCGGGAACGGGGGGAGGAGGAGGGAGGAGGAGGAGGAGGAGGAGGAGGAGGAGGAGGAGGAGGAGGAGGAGGAGGAGGTCGTAGAGGAGAGGAGGGAATGGAGGAGGGAGGAGGAGGAGGAGGAGGAGGAGGAGGAGGAGGAGGAGGGAGGGGGAGGAGGAGGAGGAGGAGGAGGAGGAGGAGGAGGAGGAGGAGGAGGAGGTCGTAGAGGAGGAGGAGGGGATGGAGGAGGAGGGAGGAGGAGGAGGAGGAGGAGGAGGAGGAGGAGGAGGAGGAGGAGGAGGAGGAGCATGAGGAGGAGGAGGAGGAGGAGGAGGAGGAGGAGGAGGAGGTCGTTCCCTGCGGGCCTCCCGACAGCGACGCATCCTTGGGCGAGGCGGGGAGAGCCCCACCGGGTTTTCTGGAGCCCCACGCGGACGGATATGGCACCGAAAAAACGCCCCACGGAGCCTCGGCGACGAATTCAAAAGTCGCTGATGTCACGCTAACCGATCGGGGGTGGACAGAACCCCCAACAGTGACACGTCGATTAGTGAATTGTCCGTTTTCGGTTCTCGAGAGGGCGCCGTGGCCGTTATTTTCCAGGCCTGCGCCCGCCAGGTTTGGGCCTCAGGTCGTTTTCACTAAACCGCGTTTTACGAAAGGGGGGTCTGTCCATCCCCGAACCGAGCAAGAAAGATCGCGCCATGAACATAAACTTTTGGCGCGCCGCGCGGATGTCTTGGATCCGCGCTGGGCTCCCCCGGCGGCGCCTCCGGCGGCGCCTTGGGCGCGCTCCGCGCGCCGGGAGGGGGTCCGGCGCAGATCAGAGGAAGTCCGCGCGGAGCGCCAAAAGCCCATGTTTCTGGCGTTCCCTCTCCTTCCGGGAGAAAAGGATGTGGGGCACCCTTGCGCCTCCTGGGAGGGGGGGGGGAGGCCCTGCTTGGGGAGCCCCCCCGCTCGGATCGATCTGGGAGGCACCTCCCCAGGAGGTCCTCCCTGGCATCCCTTCTGGGGGTCCGCGGCCCCAGCGCCTTACTGGGATGACCGTGGGGGGTCCTAAGCGGATAGGGGGGGGTACAAGTGGATGCCAATGTGCGTTATATCTGGCCCAACCTGGCTTATAAGTGGATTACAAGTGCCCTAAGTAGCTTAGGGGGGTTAACGATCTGGGCTAGGTGGGCTTCGCCCACTTAGCCGAGTTCTCGACCCCTCCTAAGCTACTTAGGGCACTTGTAACCAACTTATGAGCCAGCTTGGGCCAGATATAACCCACCTTGGCATCCACTTGTAACCCCCCTATCCATTTAGAACCCCCACGGTCATCCCAGTAGGGACCCCCCTCCGGGGAGGCAGGCGCGTACCCTATCGCGACCGGCGGCCGTGGATGGCCCCGGGGCCCGGCAGCGGGGCCCGCAGGCTGAGCTGAGAGGGGCAGCGCCCAGGTCTCCGGGGCGGCAGCAAGGGGGGTGATGACTACGGGGGGGGGGATATCATAGGGGAACAAAAAGTGACCAGGGGGGGGTGGATATCTAGGGGGGTGATGACTACGGTGGGGGTGGATATAGGGGAACAAGAGGTGACCTAAACATAAAACCTCAGAGCTCCGCGCGGATTTCTCGGATCGGCGCTGGGGCCCCCCGGCGGCGCCCCCGGCGCCGCCTTTGGCGCGCTCCGCGCGCCAGGGAGGGGGGTCCAGCGCCGATCCGAGAAATCCGCGCGGGCCTCCGAGTTTTTATGTTTATGTTACCTCTTGTTCCCCTAATGGTATCTCACCAGAGTCCATGGCGCCTCTTTTCATTTTTATTGCGTCCCTGGCCCCCCCGCTGGGCCGCGCACCAGCGCCGGGCATGACTTGCGCCCCCCCTCCCCCCCCCCCCCCTCTTGGACACCCCCCTCCTGGCCGCTCCCGAGAGCTGATAGGGGAAGCGCCCAGACAGACCTCAGCGGCGCCCTCGTGCCCCCAAAAGCCGCGCACCAGAGGTCCCTCTTGCCCAAAGGTCACTCTTGCGTGTCGCCGAGGGGGCGCGCCCCGACGGGAAAAGCAAGAGGAGCACGTCGTCGGCGGTCTGGCTCTGGCCACGGCCCGAGACCCCCGTCGACCCCGCCTCTCTGCGCCATGGCTCGCGCCGGATCGGCCCGCGGAGAGGGCGGCGCAGTCGCCCCGCGCGCGCGAAGACACTGCGGCGCACGGGCCTCGGGAGCAACGAGGCCTAATTATAAAGGGGACGCATCGACTCCCAGTGTCCCAGTGATCGCCCACTGGGGCCCGATAGCCCCATCTTGCACAGGAAGGTGCGGGTTCACGATCGAGGGCTTCCGGCCGATCGATCGGCGATGCATCGCCGATTCCAGGTTTTTATGTGCTCCCCCCCCGGTGCCAGTCCCCCCCCCCCCCCCCGGTCGTGGCCCCTCAGGATCTCAAGGGAGCTGGGGGGGGGCCACCTGGTCGACGCAGAGAAACGTGGTCGACTGCGCCGGCCGGTTGTCTTCCGGGCCGGTTGTCTTCCCGGCCGGTTGTCTTCCCTCCTTCCTCCTGGTGCCGCGCACGCTGTGTTTCTGTGCGACCGCCGTAGCGCCGCCGCTCCCGCAGAGCGGTGAGGATCGGCTGGCCTTGTCTTCTTTCGCCCACGCGCTCCGGCGTATGGCGTGAGTGAGTGGTCGACTGCGCCAGCACTCGCTCGCGTGAGCTGCCCCCGCAGGGGTCGCGCGTGGGCGCCCTCGTCTCCGCGGCAGCGTGCCGCGCGGGCGGCCAGCGTGAGCCACGGCGTGCGGGCGAGGTCGATCACAGCAGGTCGGTCCTGCCCAGTCGAGGCTACCCTCGTGTCCGTCGGGGCTGGACAGACCTCCTACCCTGACACGTCGATTAGTGAAGTGGCCGTTTTCGGTGCGCGGGAGGGCCTCGCGGCCGTCCTTTGTGCGGGTCCAGGTCCATCGGTTTCCGTCCCAGGCCGTTTGCACCAAGGGGAGGTCTACGCAAGGGGAGGTTTGTCCAGCGCCGAGTCCTGAGTTTCGCGACCCAGGCACTGTTTCGCGACCCATATATGGCAGTGTGGCCCTCTGAAGGGTCTCGAGTCCTCTCCAGTCAGCTCCGACTGCAGGGCCTTGCGCCATGTCGCGCAGGACCCGTTTCGTTTCGTCGCGCACCTGGGGCTGGGGAGCGTGGTTGCACTCCTGGGCGATAGCGGGCGTTACCGTGGGGGGAGACGGGGAGGGGGCGGTAGCGCCATGTTTCGCGCCAGCGCCGTCCAGGAGTGCTGAGAAATATCCGGGGACTGTTCGTCTGACGGACGTCTGCACGAATCGCGAAGTTGCTGGGGGGGCTTCGGGGGCCAGTGACGGCCGCGATCGCAGAGCATACAGCATACATGTATACATCGATACATATAGATGTATCGATGTATACGCATGTATCTATATACACATATTCACATCCATACATTTACACATACATATACATTACCATAGACACATGTGTACACATATGTACACATCTATTCATACAGTCATACCTACATAAACGCTTTCTTGGGGCCTCGACTTCATCTGGGATGTCCGCGTAGGTCGCTGAGTGGGCGGGGAGGCTACAAGCGGTTGCCAAGGTCCAACGTGGAGAACAAATGCTGAGAAAAGGTGAATGCCAATGCTCCAAGTTCGCGATCCGGGCGGAGTGGGCTCCGCCGACTTAGCGGATGTATGTGCCCCCCGTTGTTGCCGTCATTGAGAGCATTCGAAGCTCCCTTTTTAGCACCCTCTGTCCACTTATGGGGAGACAAAGAGGCACCGCTACCGGTACCCCCCTGACCTCTCCCGGGGTGCGCTCTGACCAGGACTGCGGGGCGAATCCAGCGGTGGCGACGAGGGCCTCCCAGGAGGCCCGGCAAGAGGAGCAGTCAGGTCTTGCGCCCACCAGGAAACAAAACCGAAGCTCCGACAAATTATTTTGCAATTTTTTGAAAATTGTTTTGGCGGCGCCGAAGGATGGCGCTATCGCGTGCACGTCCCAACTTGGACAATGGGGCCAACCGCTGCCCATGAATCGCGCGAGTGTCTTTATTGCCATCACTTAAGCTGTATGGGTAGCGGTATGGGGCACCTCTTCCTCCGAGCTTGGCACCCCCCGCGGCCACATCCCAGCTCGGCAGACGCCCCGCGGAGGAGGCGGCCGCGCCCGAGGGCCCCGGGGAGGCACGCGAAGGGGGCGCCGACGCCGCCCTGCTGCGGGGCGGCACGCAGCTGCTGCGCCTGCTCGGGGCCGCCGAGGATCGGGCCGGACGAAAGGGGGGGATAGGGAAAGGGGGGGTTACGAAATTTGCTGCATGCAGCTGGTTTCGGCCTCACCGAGGGGCCCATTCCTCGATACATAGCCGCCTCCGGCGCAGGGAGGCGCCGGGAAAATCAGCTACGTAAGCTGATTCTCACCCCCCCCCCTTTGCTATCCCCCCCTTTCGCCCGACCCGAGAGGATCCCGTAGTCGAGGCCCTGGAGGGCCGCCTGGCCGACGCCGCGCACTTCCCGCTGGAGCCCTGCGGGCGACGAAGGCACCGATCGGGGGAGCGTAAGACCCGGGTTTGCCAGGACTCGGGCTCGCCATCGTTTTTTGACGACCTCGTCACTTTTTTGACGACCTCGTCGGGGATTTCCGAGCGGCGCGGCCCGGAGAGGCGGCTGCTGCGGCAGCAGAGCTCGCGGGAGAGGCTGGCGTGCCCTGCCGGTTCCGTTTTTTGGGGGGCGTCGGCGCGCGCCGATGAGCGTCTGGGAGTCGAGGAGACAGCGCCGACGTAGCGTCGGCTAGCGTCGATTGGCGTCGATCTAGCGCCGAGTAGCGTCGGCTAGCGTCGACCAGCGTCGATTCGCAAGAGCCGACAAGATGGTATGGGAGGCTCCCAGGAGTGGCCACCGCAGACTGCGGCCCGATGGGGGAGGCAACCCAGCTTTGGAGCCGGCGGGGGGCTTCCGAGAGGCCCCCCGCCGCCTTCTGCGAGGGCTTCCGCCCTCTTTTGCGATTTGCCCCCCCGCCGCTCGCCGCGTCAGAGTGGGCACGCAGGCCGGCAGCAGTGCCTGTCCATTTCGAGCTCGGAGCCAGTTGGGGTTATGATGTTCCAACCTGCTTCAACCTTGATCACCAGGAAAAGCTTCGAGCACCGAGAAAGTGTATACCGAAACCGGAGAGTTCTCACGCGTCGGGCCCTGGGAGACACTCGTTCGACACTGCTTCGACGCTGTTTCGACACTTTTCCGGGTGCTCGAAGCTTTTTCTGGGATGTGGTCCTCAAGTATCGGGGAAGGGAAAAGAGGGGGGTGATGACTAGGGGGGGTGGATATCATGGCGGTGGCCATGATATTTCCCAGATTTCATGGCGCCTCTTCTTATTTCATTACGTCCCTGGCCCCCACACTGGGCCGCGCACATGCCGCCGGTCATGATTTGCACCCCCCCCTCTTGGACACCCCCCTCTTGGCCGCTCCCGAAAGTACGTTGGGAGCAGCATGAGGTTGGGGGTCTCTGAGGCGGCCCGGCACCGGTTGCAGCGAGCAGGAAGGGGGAGGGGGAGGGGGGGGGGAGGCAGGGCCGAGGCGCGGGGCTCTCGGGAAGGCGTTTGCCCTTAGCGGCCTCAGGGGGCATGTTTTTTTGTGTTTGTTTGTATGGTCTCTGGCAAGTTTTTTCTTCGTTATTTTTTCTTGTTTCTGGCACGCGGATCCGGGTGCTTTTTTACAATTGATTCTGGCTCTGGACGCATTTTTCGGGACCCGGGACCGTCAGAAACGGATCCGGGGCGAAACATTGCACCAGATGGGCCCGAGAGGGGCCTGGGTGCGGGCAGTACTGTCCACATCCACCGCAGTGTGGAGTCTCGGGCTCCCTTCCCCAGAACTCGAGGCGTATTGGATATGGATAAACTTGCCCCCCAGAGGCGCGATTTTTATCCATAGCCAGTGCTTCTCGGCCTTGTGGCGCCCCGTCCAAGAAAGTCCAAAACGCACTGGATGTGGACATAAATCCTGCCTGCACCTGGGACCGATTGTGAGCAGATTTGAGAAAGAGCGCGTTCGGTGGGCGCTTGGAGGTGGGGGGGTTGGAACTGGACCCCCCCCCTCCCCCCTGGATTGAAGGGGGGTCGGTGGGTTCGAACGCCTCCCCTCCTTTTCCCTTCTCCCGTGACGGAGGGGGGGGGGTCTTCGATCCCCCCCCCCTCTCCTCCTTCCTCCCCTCCTTCTCCTCTCTCCCTCTCCTCGGGCCGGCGTCGGCGGCGGCTGGCGGCGGCGGCGGCGGAGAGCGTCGAAAGGGCATTGGGACCGCTTGCGTCGAAAGGTGTATTGTCTCATGGCTTTCGGGCCTTCCCACCACCGTGCCTTGGTTTTGGGTCAGAGTCCTAATGGAGATGCTTCTTGGGCTCTCGTCGGAGGGCTCTCAGGGGCCTCTGAGGGGCATTTGCGAAGCCTCCTGGGCGCCTTTTGGGCGTCTCTTGGGGCCTTTCTGCGGTGGTGGTGGTGGTGGCTGTGGTGGTGGTGGTGGTGGTGGGTTGTGGTGGTGGTGGTGGTGATGGCAGTGGTGGTGGTGGTGGTGTGGTGGTGGTTGGTGGTGGTGCTGGGTTGTGGTGGTGGTGGTGGTGGTGGCGGTGGTGGTTTGTCGTGGTGGTGGTGGTGGCGGCGGTGGTGGTGGTGGTGGCAGGCTGTGGCGGTGGTAGAGGGGGTGGGTTGGTGATGGTGATTGTGGTGGTGTGGTGGTTTGTGGTGGTGGTGGTGGTGGTGGTGGGTTTGTTGTGTGGTGGTTTGTGGTGGTGGTTGTGGTGTGAGGGCTTGTGGTGGTGATGATGGTGATAGTGGTGGTGATAATGGTGGTGGTGGTTGTGGCGGTTGTGGTGGTGGTGTGGTGGATTGGTGGTGGTGGTGGAGGGGTGTTGTTGTGGTGGTGGTGGTGGTGGTGGTGGTGGTGGGGGGCTGCTGTGGTTGTGGTGGTGGTGGCTGTGGTGGTGGTGGTGGTTGTGTGGAAGCGGTGGTGGTTGTGGTGGTGCTGGTGGTGGTGGTGGTGGTGGCGGTGGTGGTGGTGCTGGTGGTGGTGGTGGGTGGTGGGTGGCGGTGGTGGTGTTCGGGGTTATGGTTGTGGTTGTGGTGTTTGGGTTGGTTTGTGGTGGGTTGAGGTGGTAGTGATGGTGGTGGCGGTTGTGGTGGTGGTGGTGTAGTGGTTTGTGGTGGTGCTGGTGGTTGTGGTTTTGGTGGGTTGTGATGGTTGTGGTAGTGTTGGTGGCGGTGGTGGTGGTGTGGTTGTTTGTGGTGGTGGTGGTGGTGGTGTTGCCTTCGGGTCTTCCCGCCACCAGAGGGGTCTCGGGGGCGTCTGAGGAGCATGTGTGAGGGCAGCTGGGAGCCTCTTGGGCGTCTCCTGGAACTTCCCAAGGGCCCCCGGTGGCTTCTGGGGAGCGAGGGCTCGATATGGCGATCCGTAGTTTCCCGCTGCGGCCGCTGGGCTCTCTCTGGTCATCGGTGCTGTTTCCCCGCCGTTGGTGCTGCGGTCCGCCGCCAGCGCCTGCGCCAGCACTGGCACCGAGGGGGGAGGGTGGGAGGTTCGACCCCCTCCCCCCCAGAGAGAGCCGGAGGAGAAACAAAAATTGAGGCGGCCCGAGAGCCAGCCATGGAATGTGTGAGTTGGCCGTTTGTTCGAGCAGGGGAGCGACTGAAGAACGAAACGCTACAGACCTGAGTTGCCCCAAAGTTGATGTGTGTGTGTCGCATCTACGTGACTGCGTATAAGTTCCGTCGATCTACGCACAGCATGCGTATACATGTAAACACATATATACATGCATAGAGGTACGTATGTATATATGTATGCATGTATGTATGTACGTATGTTCGTATGTGTGTATGTATGTATATGTAAACAGGTAGGAAGATAGGTAGGTAGACCTGTATGTATATATGTATGTATATAAATATGGATGCATGTATGTATGTATGTATGTATGTATGTATATATGTATGCATGTATGTATGGATTCATGCATGCATGCATGTATGTATGTATGCATGTATGTATGTGTATGTGTGTATGTTTGTATGCATGCATGTATGTATGAATGAATGTATGTATGTATGTTTGTATGTATGTATGTATATATATATATATGTATGTATGTGTGTGAATGTAAATAAATATGCATGTATGCATGTGCGTACGCACGTACGTACGTACGTGTGTATGTATGCCTTTATACATGGTTGTATGCATGTATACATACATGCATGTATGTATGTATGTGTATGTATGTATGTGTATGTATGTATGTATGTATGTTTGTTTATATGTATGTATGTATGTATGTATGCATGCATGCATGCATGCATGTATGTATGTATGTATGTATGTATGTATGTATGTATGTATGTATGTATGTATGTATGTATATGTGTGTGTATGTATGTATGTATGTTGGTGAATGGGTACATGCATATACAGAATTCGTCTTGATAATCACTTGTTGTAGTCGATCCCCGACTCGAGAAACTCCACGAACGTTACATATCTTCGTAGATTCCCGCGGGAAATCAAGTCTGGGATGCATCACTCTTGTAGTCGATCCCCTACTCGAGCTCTCGGCCTCGTGGGCCCCTCGCCAGGCCCTGGGACCTGAAGGGCCCGGAGAGGGGCCCTGGAGGTCGCTGTGGTGTTCGTGATTGTCTTCGTGGTCGTCGTCGAGGTCGTTGTTGTTGTCGTCGTGGTCGTCGTCGTGGCCGTCGTCGTCGTCGTCGTCGTCGTTGCCGTCGTCGTCGTCGTCGTCGTCGTCGTCGTCGTCGTCGTCGTCGTCCGCCCGATCCCCCCCCCGATCCCATCTGCGTGGGGGGGGAGGCGTGGGAACACTGGGACCCATCGAATGTGGGGGGGTCGACACAGTAGCCGTGGACACCTCGGATCATATGAGCGACGCAACCAAAACCGGGGTCGTGTTCACCGACATGGGCGCGCAAGTTGCCCGCGTAAGGTCGCGCGGAAGCGCCCACGTCTCCGTTGTGGCGTGCCGCGCTGGCGGCCCGCATAAGCAACCGCGTGGGGTCGCTATGTCTTCTCGCGTAAGACCTGTTTTCTTACAGTGGAGGCCCATGCTAAGAAGCACCCTGCTTGCCTCCAGGGTGCCCTGGGTGTCTTGGGTGCTGATGTTTTTTTTGCGATGGAAAGCGCGACGCTCCCACACCAAAAATCAGTGGACGTCCTGGGGTCTCGGGGTTGGGTTTCTTGTGGACTGGCCTCCACCGTGTTCGTCGCCCACCTGTCGATATACAGTCGGGGCGCTGAAGAAGGAACCCTTTTCGTTGGGGAGGGGCTCGGTGTTCCTTGATTGTTTCAAAGTTTGCCTCGGGTTTTTCCTTATGTTTTCAATCGGAAATCGAGGTTGAACTTATGGGGAAAAGGGGCTTCGTTCCGTATTTAGGGTTCCTGAGGTCAACGCCTCGACTGCATCCCCTGCCCGCGAGGACCACCTGGGCCCCATGCGCCTGGTGCGGTCCGGCCACGTCCAGGCCGCCGCGGCCGTCGTCGTCTTCTCGGCGTTGTCGCCGCCGTCTCTTCGGAAGCCCCTTGGGCACTCCTGGAGGCTCTCGTCTGCCTGTCCATTGTTTACCAGCCTCGAACGTATCCCTATCCCTAAGATTGACACGCCAAAAGGTGATGACAATCTTAGGGATTCGCCTACAAAAAATAAGGGAATCCCTAAGATTGGCATCGTGATGAGGAGGTGCCCAGCATAGGGATAGGGATATGTTCCAGGCTGGTAGATTGTCATCGCTCGCGCGTGTACATTTGTTTTTACCTCGGCGAGGACCATCGAGGAGCACCCTGGGTCATCTTGCGCCACAAGCGCGCACAGGAAGCCGAAGCATGCACGGGGATTGGACGTCCCAGCGACGGCGAGGTCCGGGCGCGGCTCGCAAAGCTCGCCGGCCGAGACAGTGGCGGCCTTCCTTTTTCTTCTCTGGTCCTCCTGGAATTCCTACATTAGAGGCACAAGCGATGACATAAGCAAAGACTCGGAGGTCCGCGCGGGTTTCTCGGATCGGCGCTGGACCCCCCTCCCTGGCGCGCGGACCTCCGAGTCTGTATGTTTATGCCATTGTTCGTTCCCCCATGGATCTCTTACATGGCCGTCTCGTCGCCACCTCTGCATCTGCATCGGGAAAACAGCCACAGGATGGATCCTGGGAGGGGTCCGGGGTCACATTCTCCGCGGAGTCTGGTCCGAGGTCCTTGCCGCCGTCGGCGTCCTTGCCTTTGTACTCGCCGCCACCGCCGCCGCCGCCGCCGCCGCCGCCACCGCCGCCGTCGTCGTCGTCGTCGTCGTCGTCGTCGTCGTCGTCGTCGTCGTCGTTTTCCTCTTCTTTGTTCTCTGAGCCCTCGGGGGGGAGGGGCCTCGTCGTCACGGGCTGGATGTCCGCCTCGCAGTCCCGGCCCCTGGAGAGCACGCCCCTGGGGAGGCCCGTGGGCCAGTCTTGAAGAGCTGCATGGCGGGCGCGGGAGCAGGACGCCGAAACCAGCCCAGGAGAGGGAATCCCTGCAATTCCGGGGATGGAGGAGCGACGCCACCACCAGCAGGGGGGGGCCCCTCTGGCGAGGCAGTCCACGATGCCTCCTCCCCGAGCTAGGGATACAGGGGGATGTCTCGAGCGAGAGGTGGGAGCCACACCACCTGTCAGGCGATCGCAAACATGGATCAAGGGGGCGTGGATTAGCGACGGGTCCCGTTTCCATGGGAAACCGCAGATTTCCGCTGCCGAGCGAGGCGGCACCGGCCGCATTTTGGGGAGGGCACCTCCCCCGATCCATGGATTTTGGCGACCGCGCGCCAAATCCATGGATCGCTAAACCATTTTTTGCTCGCTCCCGAACCAGGGGGGCCTCCCCTGGCTCCTCCCACTCGTGGTCCCTGGTGGTGGTGGTGTCGCGTCCTCTTGTTCCTGCCAGTTTTGGTCCGAGCAGGTGGTGTCGAAGATCGCCGACGCATCGCCGATGCGGCTCGAGCTGCGGCCCGATCTTCTTCCAGCCGACCTTGGCGATGCATCGGCGACGTCGCCGGTGCATCCCGTGCATCGGCGACGCGGCGCGATCCCCCGACCCCATCTGCTCGGGCCCCGTGCGGGAGGCCTCCCGTGAGGGGACGGGAGGCCCCAGCAAGACCGGAGGGGAGGGGCCCAGACATGCTCGCAGCGTGGCAAGAACCACGGCGGACGATCTCTGGCCGCAGGACGGAGGCCAGGAGGGTCCAGAGACCGAGCCTGAGCGGGTATGAACCGGGCGTGAGATCCGCCGTTGTCTCGACTGGCCTTCCTCCATAGATCTACACTTGGGGCGCTGAAGAAGGAACTCTTTTCGTTCGGGAGGGGCTCCGTGTTCCTTAATTGTTTCTCAGTTTACCCCACGTTGTCCTTATATTTTCGATGGGGAATCGAAGTTTCACTTTGGGGAAAAAAGGGGCCTCGTTCCTTATTTTGGGTTCCTTAGGTCAAGGCCCCGACTGTATTCCTGTATGCGTAGAACGAAAGGATGTTCATGCAGCAGTCGGGCCCTCGAAGTCTGAAATCGAGAAAGAACAACCCACCCCCACACCCACCAGGATGATCTTTGCATGTTTGCCGGAATGCTTGTGGACTTTGTCGATACGCCCCCGCGTCGATGATTGCGGATCGCGACGTCTCTTTTTTACAGCTCGTTTTATAAACCCTTCTTCGTTGCTAAAAAACAGTTATTGCGTGTTTCATAGACGTTTTTTTGCGTGTATCGAATTGCGCTGTTACATCTTCGCGATGGCGCGATTTGAGCAATGTCCCAGGCAATGTTGTGCGCGCAGGTGTTGTATTAAAAAGTGGTGGGCGTTTAGTAAACACGTTTTTGTTTTAGGCTACCGTTTTTTTCCGGGCTTTCGGCGGTTGCATGTTCCGCAAGTTGCCAGAGGGCCTCTCTTGGGGCATATGCAGTTGACGACGGCCGTCGGGCCACAGGCGCTAGAGAGATGCTTTGAATCTATACAGCGCGATGTGGTGTGTGTGTGTGTGTGCGAGTGTGTGTGTGTGCGTTGTGTGTGTGTGGGTGTGTGGGTGTGTTTGTATGTGTGAGTGTGTGTGTGTGTGTCTGTGTGTGCTTGTGTGTGTTTGTGTGTGTTGTGTGTGTGTGTTGTGTGTGTGCGTTGTGTGGGTGTGTGGGTGTGTTTGTATGTGTGAGTGTGTGTGTGTGTGTGTGTCTGTGTGTGCTTGTGTGTGTTTGTGTGTGTTGTGTGTGTGTGTTGTGTGTGTG